AAAGAGATAGGCGAGGGGAAATACAATGGCAAAGAAGAAACAAGACAAAAATTTTTTGGGAAATTCAATCTACGTCGAATGTGGATGCAAGTAATTGGGATTCAAAAAGATGATTAAAAAAAGGGAGTTCAAATTGGATGGGGAGCTTCTCTTGGAACTGTGAAGGGGCATCCCTCCAAGACGAGAGAGGGATCGTGTAATTGGTTAGGGAGACTGGAAATTGGTTTGGGCGGCAGTGGGTCTACCCAATTGGGTTTGCAGTCTTAATCCATTTAATTTAATCGGGGCAGTTAGTTGGACTAGGATGAAAACAAACTTAACCCGGAGGAGGCTTTTTGTAATTTGTTTAGTTATTTAGTGGCGCAGTTAGGTTTAACAAACGTGAGCCGTGGAGATTGAAAATGAATGGTTAAGATCGGCCAAGGTACCCATACCCGGATTTTGCCCTGGGCACCGTAGAAGTATATATATATATATATATATATATATATATATATATATATATATATATATATATATGGGTCAGACTGGTGTGCGTCAGGGGTATACTATACGTCAGGTACTACTTGTGAGATATCTCTATCTAGACCATGAATTAAATCGAGTTTGGGGTATGATACTATACCCTAACCTCTAATGGATAAACCCCAGGCACCGATTTTCTAAACCCTAACCCGAAGTTTGATTTAATGAAAAACAAAAATTGACCGTTGAGATCGGCCGGAGCTCATCTAACCACATCTAACGGCTAGATCACCTGACGTATAGTATACGCCTGACGTACACCAATCATCACCATATATATATTAGAATATGGATAATCAATTAACTGGTTAATTTGGTTTGATTGGTTAGAAGTGTCTGAAACCAAACCAAACAAGCTAAAAAATTTAACCAAACCAAACCAGTTACCCAAATAAACCAAACCAAATTAGCCAAATACTACCGGTCAAAACGGTTACCACGCCGTTTGAACATCCTAGTAACTAGTGTTCCAAGTGGAATAAATTGACTAAAATTATTAAAGACCAACATTATTACCACATGGGGTGAAAAAAACACTTGAACAGAAAGAGCATTTGACACCTATGAACAGTAATGGATATGATTATAATCATTTCAAGTTTGATATAAAGTTGAGTTTATATTTGAGACTTGAGAGTGTTGCGAAGAAATGGAAAGCTATATAATAAAACAACAGGAGGTGGATGTGGAGGTGGTGGATTGATTGGGAGAGAATTGCATATACTAAAAGGGGAGGAAGAAGAAAGCTTTCAATAAAGAAATGATTGGAAGGTCGGATTAAGAGGAAGAGGAGCTGTACAGAAGAAGAAAAAAGCAAATTAGGCCAATGGATCATTATTGAGACAGATGTGGAGGAAGGATCCAAAGGGGAGAGTAATTGGTATGATCAATGATGGTATCCTACTCTCTATTCCATTGCATTCATCATTTTTCAGGTTGAAATGGGTTCAAATCAATTGGCCAACAAAGTCAAGAAATTGCACTTAGATGAGGAAATGCAATGATTTGAGAGAATACAAGAGATATTTTATTAATAAGTGTTGGGATGTTATCCTATTTGGTTTTTTTGGAATGTTATTTTTTGTATTTTCGGGTGATATATGTTGAGAACTTGAGATGATGCAAAGACCAAAACTCGTATGAAAATTATTTACTTGTTCCACCACAATTTCTGTCATTTAATACACGGCGAGATGATTTCAAATTGTATTCACTAATCCTTCTTATATAGATATTGACATTTATTTAATCCTTACAATATTTTTCAAGATATCAATAACCGAAAGAGTACTTTAAAATCTCGTTCATGAACAAACCATCTCACCTTATCCTGCATGATTCATGTTGCATATAATATATAATCGACTAATAATAAAAAACGGTGGATGGTTAATCATTTTCGTGCAGTGTGCCAATGGCCCATTCCCACCCCCAATCCCCATTTGCAAATTAAATAAATTGGGTGATAATAATTGCAATTTGCAAAGCTGGACGGCAGCAAATTCATACTTAATTTATTTTCTGAATCGCTATTCGTCATCCTAAAATTTAAAAAAAATCGCCCTAAATTATACAAATTAGGGATGACAATTTTGTCCATACCCATAGGTATTTTACTATCCAACCCAATTGGGTTGGGTATGAAATCCAAAATAGATGAATATGGGTAGAGTTTGATGGGTTTGTACCCATATCCATTTACTTTGGGTTGGGTTGGGTTTAAAACAAATGAATTTGAGTATGTACCCATGCCCAAATACAAATTACAGTTTGCTACCTAAACTTAATAGATATGCATATTTAATACCTAAATTTAAATTTTTTTGCATATAAGTCCTCAAAATATCGATGGAAAATTATATTTTGGTACCTAAATTTTTTTGGTCTTACATTTTGGTACCTAAACTTTTCAAGTTTTTACAAATAGGTCCAATTTTTGCATGTGTAGTTAAAACACCCTCAAGTAAATGGATATCCATATCCAACCCATACCCATTTAGATTATGGAAGCAATATTCATACCTTACCCAAACCCATCTACAAACCCTCATACCCATATGCACTTCACTCATACCCAACCCATTATCAATGGGTCTACTTGGGTTTGGGTATAATTAACCATGGGTGGGTAATTGTCATCCCTAATACAAACTGACAATTTTATCCCTGATTTTAATAGTAACAGAAATAGAATCCCCACCCCAACCCGACGACCGGCGGCTACCGCCCACCTCCTTTTGTTAGGCTCGAACGAAAATATTGTTGTTGACTGATCCACGCCCAGCGCTTCTCTTAAGGAGGAAGAAGAAATCCATCCAAGCTTAGTAGGCGATGATGATTATTTGGGGTAGTTTAATTGGAGGAAGGTTGGTGGGCTATGCAAAGTGGAAGCAGCTGCAGCGTGCGGAGCAAAGTTGATTTCCGCCACGGAGAAGGAAAACTACAACAGCGGTGCAATTTGAATTTAATTAGTTTAATGATTTGTTTTGGATTAGGCGAGTCAGAGGTGGCTGGCGGAAGAGGATGTGGAGGTCGCCGGTTGCTTCTTCCTCTTCTTCCTCCGCAAAGGTCGGCGACGACAGAGGAGTTGGGAGGTGCCATTGTCGGAGGTTGGATTGAAAACCGAGGAGGGTTCAATTGGAAGTTAAGGATAAATGTGTAATTTTGTGTGTTTTAGGACGTGAATTCAAATTTTTAGAGCGACGAATAGCAATGCCCTTTATTTTTATAAAAAAATTACATTTCGTATATAAATTTTTTTATATTGACAATTTAGTACCTAAACCTTTTAGAAATATCATAATGATCCAAGATCTAGATACCAATTAGATTCATAGATTTCATCCACCCATCCATTTGGTCTAATCCATGAACCTATCAATCAAATCCACTGATCCATGAACCCAATTCATTTGCCACCTTTACAGCCTGTTTGGATTGACAAAAAAGTAAGGAATTGGAATTCCATTTCCAATTCCATTTCCATATATTATGTTTGGAATAATAAAAAGGTTGAGAATTGAATTCCAATGGGTCTAAAATATGGGAATTACAATTCCTATCAAAAGTGATAGGAATTGAGAGAATGAAGATGGAATTAGTGGGACCCATCAATACTTTTTATTATTTTGTTGACCCACTATCATTTTACTCTCTTTCTCTCTCATTCATATTTCATTTCCCAAAATAAAACAAACATATTACATTATTCATTATGGTTAAAAGTGCAATTCATTTCCATAGTTGTAGGAATTATACCAAACACTAGAATTGGAAATGGAATTCTATAAAAATAAAAAATCGAATTCCATTTCCATTTCCATTTCTTCCGGAATTGTATCCAAACAAGCTGTTAGTTGGAAACCATTCAATCTAGTGTTGGACCCCTTCACACCTGTTTGATAGACGCAGTGACATTTTATTTACAAAATTGTCATCACACGCATCTAGTAATCACAAACAACTCAATGCTTGATCCAACAATTCCCAACGCTTGTGAAAACGTCCTAATAGTTTGACTTCTGATGAAGATGACAAAATTGGTTTGGTTATGTGTCTCTTACCCGATTTATTTACCCCAATTAAATTAAGTTTCACATTAATAAAAAGATAGTATCTGGGCACCCACATTACAGTACTTGATACTAAATAATAACAGAGACGAACGTTTTTTAGCACTCTTGTAAGAAGTTCATTTGGAACACACCTATAAAAACTTATTATCTTTGCTCGATTATTTTTCATTCGACTTATTCTTTTCTTCATTATTAATGGTATTTTAATAAAAGTTGAGGTCCTAAATTGTAATTTTAATCATCCCATCTACAACAAAAGAATAAAAAATCAGTATTTCTATCTTTTCTCCAGAGAATAATTTGGTTTGATACGTTTTAAGGGTCAGACTGACAAAGGCAGCTTTGGGCTTATCAGCAGAGTAGACCTTTTCAATAATGGTGCGCCGGCTGGATGCAAACATTTGCAGGGATAATTGTTAATTGTCCCTTCATCTGCCTTTTTCCCTAATTATTAATTAATCAATCAATTAATTAACTTGAGGTATTAATCTAGCCTTTCATTTTCTTAAACATATTTAATCAATGGATTAATAATCAGCCATCCGACGATGACACTTTTCGACACAACACAGCAGATTAGATAAGACTGGTAGCTCGTCCAGAGAGAAAGAAAGTCTCTTCCATTTCGTTTGTTCTCTCTGTTCTACTACGCTTTTCCTTCCCTTCCCTGCGAAAAACCTCTCACGGACAGGTAAATCAATCTACTTGAGAATTTCTTCTTCTTCTTCTTCCGTGTCCTTCATCCATGATTACCCGCGTTTTTTAGTATCCTTCCAATCTTTCCCATTTGAAATTGTGTTAAAAGATCCGACCTTTTTGCTTGCCATGGCTTATCTTCTCTTCCCTCGCAATTTCCCGTTTCCTCGTTCTTTGGATTTGGATTGCTGCAACTTGGGTGGGTTATGTGGATGATCTGATATGCGAAAGTGGGCAGCTTCTTGATTTCCCAATTTGAGTGCCTTCTGGCTTTATTTGTCCACCAGTAATTGTTTGAGCAGTTAGACTTTCCCGCTATTATGCTTTCTTTCCGATCAGAATTTCCGTATCTTGGAACTTTTGTGAGCGAAAGAGGGGAGGAAACCGAAATTGGATATAGGCAATCAAGTTCAGACATGGGTTGTCCCAAGAGAAGAATAGGGTAGTTAGATTCTGGTGTTTGATTACTCTCATATGATTACAGCTTGATATTCCTCTTTTTTTGAATGATGATGCCAGGTGCTTTAACATATTCACTGAGGTCCTCAAGAAAGTTATAACACTTTTGGCCATCATACAGTCAAAGAACTGGGCTTTTAATGGGATCAGAAGGGACTGTGCTTGCTTCTGAAGCCTCTGATGGACCCTCCTGCGTAACAGTCCACGTGACGGGGTTCAAGAAATTTCATGGAGTTTCTGAGAATCCGACGGAGACAATTGTTTGCAACCTACAGGAGTATATGAACAAGAACGGGATGCCGAAAGGTTTGGTATTGGGGAGCTGTCATGTGCTTGAAACTGCAGGACAAGGTGCAGTTGCTCCTCTTTACCAGACATTGCAATCAGCCATACCTTCTGAGAATTCTAATCCTTGTGATTCTGGGAAAGTTATCTGGGTTAGTTAGTTGTCATCCCGGGTGTTGTCTTTGTATGGTTGTTGTAGTGGACATGAGCTTAATGGTTTGACATGATTGACTGTTGCAGGTGCATTTCGGGGTGAATAGTGGGGCGACAAAGTTCGCGATCGAGAATCAAGCGGTTAATGAAGCTACTTTTCGATGTCCTGATGAGATGGGATGGAAACCACAGGTTTGATAACTACTTTCTCCTAGTTTTTATATGGGAACATTTGATCAATGAATGTGCGAAGGAAGTGAATCTCAATTGATTTGAAACTATGCTTGTCTTGCAGAAATTACCCATCATTCCTTCAGATGGTGAAATTTCACTAGTTCGAGAGGTATTTTTGCTCGAGTTTATAAATATGCAAGTGCTCTTTTGGCAGCACCATAGCATTTCTGTGGTATCGGATTTCTTAGCAAGCCCTTTGCATGCTGAAAGAATTCTGTATTCTATCTGTCTGCAGACAGCTCTTCCCGTGGAGGATATCACGAAGGCCCTGGCTAAGAAAGGTTATGAAGTGATGACCTCAGATGATGCTGGCCGATTCGTGTGTAATTATGTCTACTACCATTCGCTTCGCTTTGCAGAGAAGAACGGAACTAAATCACTATTTGTCCATGTACCTCTATTCTTAACCATTGACGAGGAGACCCAGATGCAGTTTGCTGCTTCCTTATTGGAGGTACTTGCTTCTCTATTGTAGTAACATGGTCTCTCGCCATCCATGTGTGTGCCCCAAATGTTGTTATGAACATTATTATAAGCTTGTATTGCTCATTGGCCTTGTTTATGAGAAAAGAAGAGTGGAAATGGTTCAATAAACAGATGAGTGTTGTGATCATTGTTCTAAGTGTTAATCACTTCCTTCCACTTGGTCTTGATGAAGCTGCATTCCTTCCCTCTTATTAGTTTCTGAATGGCAATTTTTAAGGAACTGAAAACAGAAAACCTGTTAGATGTCTGTTATGTTTATGAATGTGGCTCGGTAGGATAGGAACAAAGAAAGTGACCCCCCACTTCGGAGACTAGATTCAGAATGCTCTTCTACTTTGGATTAAATTGTACAGCTTCTTTCGTACAGTTTATCCATCCGTTTTAGCGATATGTATGTTCAAGTTCTGGTAAAAGCCTTATTTAGGGCAGTCGCCCAACTGTAGGGGTGCAAGTTTGGCCTCCCTGGTCCCCCTATTATCCTTCCCTTCTTTCATCTGCATTTTGTACCAACATTTACATGCTTGCTCCTACTTTCAACTTGCATCATCTTTTGTAGACCTCTCTTGCCTGATATAATATGAGAGATTCCTCTACCTTATTGCTACCGTTCACAGCCAGTAGCTAAGAATATATAGTCTGCAATTTCTATTTTGTGCCGAGAAAGATTGTACATCATACTACTGAATGTTGCCATTTAGTAGATGTGGCGGCACCCCGTTCCCAAGTCAAGGCCTAGTGTTTTTTCTTCTTCTTTTTGTGTTTGCTGGAATCCAAAATGGTTGCTAAAGTTAGGTCAACAAAGATCATCCTTCAAGTCCATGATCAAATCTGGACTCCCTCCCATCAAGCAAGAAACAGGGGGGACAATGAGCGTCTGGTTTGCTCCATAAGCATTCCAGCAGAATGGGTTCTTCTCTCCTACTCGACCATCAGCAGCTCCGGGGACCAACACTATATCCGACAGCTTGAGGTCCCTGCAGGGCACCGAATCGCTGCAGGCCAAATGCATTGGAGGGCTCCTGACATCGTACGTGCCCCGGATCTTTGAGTAAGAGACATCATGTATGTAGACTCCACTGGTCTGGTTGGAGCAGTTCCCGGAGAGGCAGTAGTACTGGTCTATGATCACAGGGTTTCGGACACCTTCCATCCAGATGTTGTGGAACTTGACCTGGGATACCGAGCCGTACCCTCCTTGCCATGTCTTGATTCGTACACCATTCTGAGACTGATGGATGAAGCAGTCAGACACTGTGATGTTCGATACACAGGCTTTTGAGTTACGGGACCCTAGGCTGCCAATGCTGCAAAAAAAAAAAAAAAAAACCAGTTGAATTTATTTGTTTTACATCAAACCAAATCGACTTACTCATCGGATCATACTAAATCTAATATGACTGAATTTGGTCTTGTTTGTATAAATTCTCTTATAACAAAGAAAAGTAGTGAATTAAATTGGATCCTTCTAAATCCACTTCTGATACTAATCTTCTTTCCTATATCTTCCATATGGCTCGACTCTAAATTGGACCAGAATATGCATTAGATGAGGAGCTGCCTAATGTAATGAACATGATCTACTAGTACTAAGGTTTAGTTTGGTGACCATTCTGTAATGAGACTGTCATATAAACAGAATGGTCACCAAACTAAACCATAGTACAAGTAGATCCTGTCCATTACACCTAACTTCGATTATGGAAAGGCTGAAGTTTGGTGTTATGTCTGAATAGTTGCATCTATTGGCGCTTAGCCTTAGGCCTTGCTCTACGGTTAACTGTAATTTTGGTACCTAATCCCGTGGCCCGAGCTGCAGGTAATGTTCTGTATGTGAACATTATAACTTCCTGCTCCAATGGACACACAGTCATCTCCTGGAAATGGTGAGAACGAGAAAGACCAACATGAATCAATTCTGCAGGATGTAACTTGAGAGAGATAGGAATATAGTGATTAACTCTTAGCTTCAATTTTGTTACCATTGGAGATGAGAGAACTCTGTAGTATGAAGTTGTTGGTGTTTTCGATGTGAATCCCATCTGTATTAGGACTCAAAGCAGGCGAGTTGATGTCGAGCTTTCGCACCACGACATTTCGACATTGGTCGAACCTGAAGTGGAATTGAGGACTGTTGTGCACTTTGAATCCTTGAACTGTGAGGTTTGAGCTCATGAAGAACCTTATCGCCTGCACATTTCTCTAATAGATCAGTTTCCAGGCAAGGAAGAAAGGGAAAGTTTGTGTCTTTTCTATTCTACTTACAACTGGACTATCACAGGGGGGAGGAGCTACTTTTGTTCCATGAATCGCCTGAAAGTGAAACTAAGTTCAGCCAGAGTAAGTTTGTAGCAGAAATTTACTAACAACCTTTCTTCAGTACATAAGATATAAACTGCATATCAAAGTTTGGAGCTTTACTTTCTGAGGCTTACAGGGGAGTTCCCACCATTTATGTCCTCTCCCATCTACAACACCATCACCCTGCATTGTCATGCCTGTGACATTGTAGAACACCAACCACTGTCTCTTGTCGGAGTATTTCGGCCATGATCTCGGTCCATCCGGTGCCATTATGGTTCCATCAATCTTTCTTGTCACATTGGAAACAACACATGTAAACAATAAAATCCAAATCAAGGCAGGATTTGTACTGCTATTATTTATCAGCAGGAGATCATGTTATATACACACCTGAAAAATGAGGCCAGTTTGACAAGGTCCAGTGAAGATAGTAGAGTGAACGATGAAGCGATAACCAGCTGGAGCTACGAGGATCACGGATTGTGTTTGGCTGCAGGCAATGTCCCATGCCATCTTGAAAGCTGAAGTGTCGTCTGCTTCACCATCCCCAACTGCACCGTAAGAGAGCACACTGAAAACTGCAGTAGGCTCATAAGGTGATGGAGAGGGAGATGGAGATGGAGATGGAGGGTCAGTGGGAGGGATTTCTGGTGGGAGTGAGATGTGGGAGACAACCTGCAAGTGATTTGAGTGTGTGATGGAGAAATGGGTTGTTACTGGGAAGGTTGAGAAGAAGACAACGAAGAAGGAAATGGAGGCAAAAGCCAAGAGATGAAAGAGAGAGGATTTCATGTTAGTGGGAGTAATGTACAAAGGGGAATGTCATGCATGTTGGTTATTTATACTAGTAGCAAGAAGGGAGTTGCAGCTACCAATTAGAACGAATCAGTTAGTCCGAATAACTTAAGTTGTTGGGAGATGTTCAATTATGGATCATATACCACTTTCTAACACACCATCTCAAACGAAAATCCTACTCATACGAGCTTAAAGTTTGCACAGATTCAAATACGGTAAGCTTAACAAATAGGGTCACCAAGATTCGAGCAGAACACCTTTCGATTACAGAAGACTCTGATATCATGTTAACAATCAGTTGGTCCGAATAACTCGAATTGTTAGGAGATGTTCAAATTCAATGATGCATCATATGCCACTTACGAACAGAATTCATAGCAGCTAGCTATGTAGGTAGGAGGGGAATGGCGAAGTTGTAAGTTCCAAGTATGCAGGCCTGCTGCTGATGCGCATGCAGTTGTGTTAAGGCCAAGTTGGAGTGGGTAGTGGAGGGAAAAGGTTAAAAGAAAGGAAAAGGAAACAAAACATTGCAACAATGCTGCCCACGTTTGTGTGAAAGATCTCTTCTGTACGTGAGCTTCCCTTGTGGTGACCACTCAGTTAGAGCAATGCAGTGGGAGTTTCCTGTGATGATTTGAGCTTAGAAATGGCAACTGTTCACAGAATCATTTTCCCACCCCTTAACGAGTTTACATTTCCTAGTTTCTTTCCAGAAAGGTAGGTATCAAATGGGAGAACCAACCAGTTGACGAAGGAGAAGAGGAGGTGAGAAATGGGCCGGGAGATGGGACCATGATGGCAAACCAATCAGCCCACTTCGACTCTGTTTGTTTTTGGTCTCTGCTCCATGGTCGGTCATCCTCTTCTTCCAGAGTGGGCCAAGGAAGGAAGGAAGGAAGGCAGAAGCGATAGAGCAAAGTAGGATTAGGATGTAGGTCTTAGTGTTATTATGCAGAGGTCAGGATCAGAATTCAGAACACCTATACAGGCTACAAGGCCTTTCATTCTGCATTATTGTTAGTTCTTCTTTTTTCTCGAGTCAACTAAGCATTACATCCATGAATACATAGCAAGAGAAGATAAGAGATTTTCAGGGGTAGTGGGGAAGTTGGGCTTTAGGTCCAAGTTAGCAATTAATGAAGAAATAACTTTTCTTCCTGTGTAATTAGCAATTACTATTTTGAGGGAGTACAAAGACATGAAAATATATTTACTGCACCAAAAAAAATACATGTAATTTTTCTTATGAAAATATTGTTCGCGTTTGGGGTGTTCTTGAAAATTTTGCAAATGTTCTTCTCATTCAATGTGAATGAGATTATTCCACGGAGAAGTTATGTTATCTCAAATTTTGAAAGAATAATACACATCCTTTTACAAAGTTACAACATATATAACCTTATACGTATAAGAAGCAAGGGTTACATGCTTCAGAAAAGACAGATAAGCACTTGCCTTATACGGCTACGTATTACACATCCCCTACACTTCCCCGGCATGCAAATTTACTAATGCCAACTTCAACAGGAGCTCTTGAAAACGATCATTGGGAAGATCTTTAGTAAAACGATCAGCAAGCTGATCACGAGTAGAAACCGAAGAATTTTATGGGACGTGATATGATATGACCGAAATAATAGTTCATTTCAACGTGCTTCGTACGCTCATGAAACACATGATTAGTGGCAATATGAAGAGTCGCCTGATCATCTCAGTGAGGATCTGTGGGACCAACAGAAGCAACACCTAGCTCACGAAGAAGAGCTCTAAGCTAGATAACCTCACTTACATCACCTGTCATGACTTTGTACTCAGCCTCGACGGAGATCGTGCAACCAAGGGTTGTTTCATGGTCCTCTAAGAGATAAGAGCTTCACTCAGAGTGTCAAAATAACCAGACTAGATTAGGGCTGTCAATTTTGTTTGGTTTGGTTAACCAAACCATTAAGTATGAAAAACCAAATCAGCAAAAACCAAAACCAAAACCATTAAGGTCCTTATTGAATATTGGTACCAATAACCAATAAGGACCTTAATGGTTTTGGTTTTGATTTGGATAACTAAAAAACCAACATGTACTCATACACTCATATTTATTTCTATTTCCCTTCTTTTTATTGAATAAATGTCATAATAATGGTAAATGATAAAATGACCATTATAAATTATTGGTTGGCATGCATATCTAAAGAAACAAAAAAAAAAAATTCATGATAAATAATTTTATTATTATTATTTGTACATTCTTATAAAAAATAGTATATATATGGTTCACAATGAATCAAGGAAACATGATATTGTTTTTCTTTTTTTAAAGGATTGAACAGAACCCTTTTGAGAGTCTCTTTCAGCTCTGTGCCTTTGATACGAGTTAGGAAGGAAGGAAGTTAGTCTTAGCCATGGTTTTGGGGCTCGTATTTATGTCCCCTATTGGCTTTTATATAAGTTGTCACCTAATAACATTATACTACAAATGGTATTACCAACATTTTATCCTTCCAGTAATACATTTAAGACTAATAACATCCACAATGTCAACATTGGGTATCAATTCAACAATATTGATAAGAACATATAGAAGTAAATAATTGTATTTGTCTAAAATAAATTAGAAATCAACATCACTCCACCTCATCAGACTCTACATCCACACAAGTCTCATCATTCCCATCAGAATCCTCATAAAAAATAATCTTCTTCGACTTGTGACCCAGTAGGACTCGAGATCAGAACATGGGCAGAATGTGAGCTTCCACTAGGTTCTGCAGGTGCACTTGCACTTCGAGTTTGAAAAGCTGCAAATACTAGATAACATAAACAATAACTTGTTAGAATATGATTGGATTACAATAACAAATATGAGAATAAACATAAGTTCTTACCATTCTGAAATACAACTTTATCACCCTCATCTTCTCCATCAGCCACCAACTCAGAGTCAGAAGAGCTTATCCAATCTTCACAGCAAATCAAAGCCTCCATAACTTCAGGGAATAAGGAGGTCCTAAACGAATCTAAAACTCGACCTCCTGTACTGAATGCCGACTCAGAAGCAACCGTGAAAATAGGAACAGCGAGAATATCCCTAGCCATTTCAGAAATAATAGGATATTTCATCCCACTTCGCGACCACCATCCCAAGATGTCAAACTTACACTCATCATCTTCAGAACTCACCATTGCTCGTGTAACCTCCTCATCATCCTCCTCCTCCTCCTCCTCCTCCTCCTCAAGGTACCTATCAAACTCAGATTTGGAACTTTTTCTAGTTCCTTTCCGAATGACCTCTCTTTTCTTTTTCCTGAAATCATCCCAAAACTTTCCTTTCTTCTTCCCATCCCCACTTCCACTAGGTTCTTGCTCACCTTCTTGAATCACAATAGGAGAACTACTATGAAGTCCGAGCCTATGCTTGTAATGGTCAAACAGAGCACGCATTTCATCTTTCACCTCTTCGGCCAAAGCTTTCCCCCCTGCTTTCACCATATACCTTCTTCAAGATATTCCATTTTGCGCCTTGGATCTAATATGATTGCCATATAGCACAACCGATTGATCTTGGAATTCTCCCACTCTTCTTCAAACCAATACTTGGCTAGTTTGGACTTGATTCTCTCAGCCATGCAACCCACCTCAAAATCAATACTACCAACCCAATCAGAAATCGTAGTATACATTTCACATATCTCATCAAATAGGAGGTGTAAAGTTACATATGAAGTCCCAGAAACTCGAACAGTCACATCATAGAAGAGCTTCAGGTAACTAATCAACCGTCCGACACTTGACCAATCATCAGAAGTTGGGATACCAAGGCTTTGCTTTCCATATTTTTTTTCATTGAGATGTTTCTTTAATTTCTTCTCATTTCTGGCTAATGTCTGAAATGCTTTCTCAAATGGCTTTGCAGATTCCAACATCATATACGTTGAGTTCCACCTTGTAGCTACATCCAACGAAACAAATTTCTTCGACACTATCTTTTCAAACTCAATGCAATCTTTGAATTTTATGCTCCTAGTTGGTGCAGATTTAACCCACTTCACAGACTCTCTCACTCGCTCAACAGATATACCAGTTTCTTTAAGCCCATCCTTCACAGCTAAATTAATAATGTGAGCCACACACCTTATCTGCAGATACTTTCCATCCACAATATCTGATCCCCACTCTTTCAACTGTTGCTTCATATGGATAGCTACCACATCGTTAACACTAGCATTATCCATTGTGATACAAAAGACCTTCCTAATGCCCCAGTCCACCAAACAACTAGCCAACTGTTTTCCAATTTCATTTCCAGAATGTTTTGTTATCTGAACAAAGTTGATAATTTTCTTATACAGCTTCCAATCCCTACCGATGAAATGTGCAGTAACACACATGTAGTTGAGATTGGACAAAGACGTCCGACAATCAGTTGTGAGAGATACCATCCCCAAACATTTAGCTTTGAAATAATCCTTTAACACATCTCTGTTTTCAAAAAACACCTTGATGCAATCTTCTCTAACAGTTTGTCGGCTAGGCAGCACAAACATAGGACAAACACGGGACATAAAGCGTTGGAACCCTTCATGTTCAACATATCTAAATTGTAATTCATCTAGAATTATCATCTCCGCTAAAGCTCTCAGAGCATCAGTCTGATTAAATTGCCAAGAACCAAGAGTGTGTACCTGGCCTTCAAAAGATGACGGAAGCTCGACTACAAGATCACCCCTTGCTATCTTTGCCAAACAATTATCCTTGTGGGTCCGTAGAGTAGATGTCCCGTTAGCTACAAGAGCACTATTGCAGTAATTGCATCGAGCTTTTTTCAGTCCATCCATCTCCAAGTGTGTGAAATGTCTCCAAACATCAGATGTTGTCCCCCCACCTTCATGGTCCTCTAAGAGATAAGAGCTTCACTCAGAGTGACAAAATAACCAGACCACTAGATCGAAGAGACGTCTGACACCCCCCAATCAGCATCACAATAAGCTATTAACCGAAGTCACCAATAGAAGAAAGTAGAATGCTTTGATCAGGAGCATCCATGAGATAACACAAGACTCGCTCTGCACCACCAACATGAGGAGAAGAAGAAGCATGAACACAACCACTAAGAATATTCACGACATAGACGATGTCAGGACGAGTAACAATAAGGTACTGGAGACAAGCAATCAAATGATGATAGGTTGCGATGTTTGCTTCAAGGAAACGAGCAGAGTTTGCTTCAGGCGGCCGAGTGAGTTGGTGATGTTAAATAAATTAAAGGCTCGGGACACCCACTAGAAAGACCACTATCGCGAAGAAGATCCAAGGTATACTTCTGTTGGTAAAGAACAATTCCTTCACGGAACTGAACCATCTCCCTCATCGTTGTTGTTACTGACCACCATGCAATCATCACCACTAGTTCCACTGCTAATTAATGAGGACTTTGGTTTAAATAGCCAGCTCTGATACCATGAAAACAATCTCGATTTTTCGCTAATTCATTTATTCTTATATAATTTTTATGCCCGCTGGTGGAATCCCGTATGAACCAGTAAGAACCTGTTATTGAATAAAAGAGAAAGGGAAAACAAAACGAGCCCAAGATAAAGCGGGTGAATATAGAACAAGAACACGAGACTAATTGAAATTCAAACCAATCAAGTTCAAATTATCATTCACATGAGTGACTATAAAAGCAAGGAAAAGCAAAGGCGTATAGTAACATATCCGTACAACCAGGGCATGCTGGACAAACACAGTAAAAGACTCAATACATCAATCGTTCTATCTCAAGTTCTAGTAGAAAAAATGGAGCCTTCAACTTCGTCAAACTCAAGGATTGGGAAAAGGGGAATCAGCATTCAGCAGCCAGCCCAGGCCAAGTATAGCTGCCAAAGACGGGCAAGCAGAGACAAACAGAGTCAAGCCATGGACGCACATTGTACTCTGGCTACCTTCGAAAACTTAGAATCCTCATCGTAATCGGCCGTGGGGGTTGGTGGTCGTAGGTCTCTCTAATCACAAAGGATCATTAGCTAAAAACGAAAAGAAGCCCTTTCATTTCCTCAAGCCACTAGGATTCTGTCTAGCTAACATTGCCAAATAGATCTCTTCCAAAAATGGTAATAACGTACACGCCCGTGATTGTAAAACTATACCAGAAGTTATGCCAAAAAAATTAGTGATAGAGTATTTTGTACTAATACCATTGTTCAGCCGTTTCATATACCGCTAAAACTACCTACCGTTAGGAGTTCGGTCTCCGGTATTTCCGGTCCAACCGGCAGGTAGTTACGTATACTTCATGGGGTTATCCAAGTCTTTACTTACTTTCTGGTGCCTGCTAATCACGATTTAGTCCATACAAACCAAAAGGGCCTGCTGCTGTTGATGTCATGTTGCTACTCTTCACCTTCCACTTCTTTACAAGTCTTCTCGTCCTGGCCGGCAAAAGCTCTTCCTCTTCTTGAAAAATGTATAGCTGCCTCTGACTTTGAGTTCTGAACTTCTGATAAACAAAATCAACAAGAGCAGTTGGTAGTCCTCCTGTATGCATCGAAGAGTTTCATTCTGCTGCCACTTGGCGACTTCCTAGCTTGCATTTGACTGTTGGATTCGCTGAAATAGTATTCCTGAGGTCATCTTCCACATCTCCCTACTTAGCAGACCTACAAAAAATCAATGAAATATTAATGATCAAGTGCCTCAGCAGACAGTAGGTAGTAGTACAAGAACAACTGCCACTTCGAACACATCTGTCTATTCTAGTACATCAAAGATCCAACCCACTATAGGTTTCATTTAAAGTGGCAGCAGCGCTCAGCAGACTGCTAAACACTTTCTGACATTTTTTTCCAGACAAAAGAAACATGGCAAAGCGCTTGTTGGACTCTCCTCCAAGCTTCATGTGGTGGGCGCGGGATGATGTCGAACTCACCGAACCAAATTCAACAAGGCCTTCATTCATGAGCGAAGATATCTCAGTAGTTAGCGACACCGTGATGATCACGCTGCCAACCGGAGGCACCACGACACCTCTCACTCCAACTACGACAAATGGGCCACCGATGACGCTGTTCTCAGGTGGGGCATCGCCGGATATCCGCCACAAGATAGAAAATGCATCCCCTACAACAGCAAGACATGTGGCTATGAGGATGTATCAGAGCATGAAAAAACACGGACTGAGAGAAGAGGCCACCAGGGTGGTTGCTCAGGATGACGAGGAGTATTCGACGGAGTTGGGAAGAAAGAGTGAGAGTCAGGAGCTGCTTGGGATGGAGTACATGTTAAGGGACGGTTTCGTAAATTATCTACGAGATATGGTCAAAATCACTCCTCCAATACCCCAACAGGTAACTCAAAACTGATATCCTATACTGGATCCTCATTCGTGTTCATTTCCAAGATATATGTTTTGGAATGAATCATAAAATTCAGGTTTGCAGGTAGTCAGGTTTTCTGGCATAAAGTACTCGCGCAAAATGGAGATACCAACCTATAGATATGAAACCTTTGGGAGTAAGGTCGTTGGATGCTTTCTCGGGCCATTCAAGACTCTTCTTCAAGCAAAGAAATTTATATGGCTCGAGGTTCTCAAGGGGGTTGATGGGTATATCATGCCTGGATCCATGACCCTTTTACTTGGTCCACAAGGTATACATTCACCCCAACAATAACTAATAACTAAATTTCGAAGCAGTAAGAGAGAATCAATTTTGTAACAGGTCCCAGACTGGAAAACTCACCTGCGAGATTTTGTTTCAGGGAGTGGAAAGAGCACTCTCCTTGAAGTGCTAGCAGGGAGAGCCATAGTGTCCAAGAATGTTAATGTGCAGGGAGCAGTCACATATAACGACAAGCATGCCTCCCAGATTTGTCTCAGCAGACTGATTGCTTACATAAGCGGCCAGCCAAACCAGTAAGCTTTCCATGACCTGCAATACGAATAGAATTCTTGAAATATCATTATTCCATTTAGGTGACAATAACAAAACGTTTTGCAGGCACATTCCGTTTCTTACAGTTCGTGAGACACTCGAGTTCGCAAGGGATTGCACTCAGGGTCTTCGGCCAGAAAACTTCACTCCTCAGATGAGGAAATTCTTCGCACATGCACTGGTGGAGGGCAAGATCCATTCCTGGAGTATGTGTTGGAGATTTTGAGGTTGAAGGATTTAGAGCACAAACTTACAGGAGAGGCCTCTGACAGTGATCGCCAGAAGCTGACAACAGCTGAGTTGGCTCTCGGAACATATTCTGTCATGCTATATGATCAGCCGATTTCTGGGTCTGATCTGGCTGCTACATACAGGCTGGTCGACACTATAAGAACCGTTAGCAGGATTCAGCAATCATCTGCAGTCATGGCTCTGACTCAACTATCACAAGATGTGTTTGATCTGTTCGACAGAGTACTGTTGCTCCGTGAAGGACAAGTTCTGTTCCAAGGACCTCGTCAGGATGCCATCCCTTACTTTACCAAACTCGGGTTAGTAACAAAACATGCATGTGCAGTCGAATGTAATAGCACTCACATATTTACGGCTAATGATATCTCAAGTATACCTATAGATGTCAATGGCAGACGCTCAACTATAGGGTGTCTACTGTCGAAGTCACCGAATTATATGTCCCCCCCCCCCCCCCCCCCACATGTTTTCTGTATTTCCTAATCAATTCCTACCCTCAATTTCTGTTAGTTTTGTCCCACCTTGCTGACCGGGATACACTACCAGAGGGGGCTCCAGGACTTCAATAGTACACACTAAATACAGGGACTTCAACAGTAGAAACTCTAAAAAAGTACAGGGGCTAGTTGACATATACCTCATTGTATAGCTACTGAACCCTAATTGAATTTGACTATTGGTTATATAGGTATGCCAAACCGTCACATGTAGATTGCTACGAGTTCCTGGAAGATATTGCAGCAGGGAATGGTTCACAATACGTGCCACCAGGAGCATCACCCTATACACTAGAGGATCTTGTGGACTGTTACAGGGCTTCAGATCACAATAAGGATATCATGAGAATAATTGCCTCAAAAGATGTCAAGCAAACATACTGGCTAGAAAGCGAACCAGGGCTTGGATTATCCCTCAAAAGACCAGCCAAGTACCAATCCTCAACTGACAGAGCACCAAGACGAGAAACAGGTATAAACAAAGGAGATCTATCAATATAACTTTGCATATACGCTGGAGTCATGCCATGCACATTCATATGATACCTGTACGGAAAGAAACATGTGTTGTGGTGATTCAGCAGCAGTACAAAGCTTTATCCACTGAAAACTAACCAATGTAACTCATCCTGTTGCTGCAGAACTGGTAGTTACCAAGCTCTCTAAGAAAGTAGGACATTCAGGGGGTATCAGGAGTACAGGAAGAGTGCAAGTTGGGGATGTGGTAACCGCAATATCACTGAATAAAGAAGAAATGATTTATCTATCAGTTGGACACCAGAAGGTTCAGAAAGACCGCACCATACATGTACACTCCATACTGAAGCAGACAAGACCCCGCATTCGTCTCCAAGTTGAGCGCGAAAAAGAAGAGGTACATGCAATCCCTGACATTTAAGAACCAAGGAAAATATGATACCTAGCACATTGATTCCCAAAGGTACTAAAAGAGTATAAATTTTCAATAATTCAACAGGAAATTTATGTTTATTTTTCTAGGAAGAGAAGCACAATCTCCAGTGGGAGCAGTTCCAAAGGCCCTTTGTTCAAACCTGGTGGAATCCACGAAGACTCTCATTAACAGGCAAATTAACATCACAAAAAGGCTTCATGCTTTAATTAAATTAAGGCTCATTCAGGTTTGCCTACATCGTCCAAGTATTTTCAAATAATTCTATTCTCATACATAGCAAGATTTGAGCTGTAACCTGAATCCCGATATCAAACAATAGAGCTGGTTTTAACCCTAAATTTACAGGCACTCATCCTGGGAACATTCACTGGGTCGCTATTCTACAAACTTGGGGGTCAGTACGACCAACAAAAGATGAATTCAGTAAGGGCTCTAGGCTTTGTGACTACAATGAGCATAATGCTCATAAATATGGTACAACTTCCCTTATACATGCTCCAAAGACCAATATTCTACAAGCACAAGGCACTGAGGTTCTTCAGAGTTTCATCATACATTGTTGCCCATTGCACAGTCAGCATCCCACAGACGCTCATAGAAGTATATTATATTCCACTATTTATTCACACTCAAATATCATTAGATCTCATCATATGGTGTTATATTCCTCTATGCATTGCCCTTACTTGAAGGCACTAGTATATGCTGTTTGTCTCTATTTTCAAGCTGGCCTATCCCTGGCAGGAAATGGAGTGCCACTCTTCACATATTTAGCCCTTTTGTTCTTGGTAGCTTTCTTCGGATCATCATTGTTCTTCTTCCTGAGTGCTCTATCTTCGATTCCAGAAGTAGGGAACGCTTTGGCAGGTAATTCCCAATTAACCCATCTCCATTAAAATCAAATCTTTCCCAAACACAGTTAATTTGATTTTGCTTCCTCCACAGGTCTACTAGTCTCAACCTTCCTACTTTTCAGCGGCTTTGTGATCTATCCATCAAAGATCCCAACCTACTGGAAATGGCTTGTCCATGTGAACCCAATTCACTGGGCCAATATTTCATTCTGCCGACTTCAGTTTCTCGAGGGCTACACAGATCCGTGTTCTGATTACCTAGGTCATCTACCCTACTGTGATCAGTTCCCAAGAATGACAGTTGGAAAAGCATACCTGAAATTCTATGAACTATCTGGAGATACTGGGAGACCCTGGCTGCCATATACCATTCTATTGGGATGGATAGCCATGGTCAATTTCTTTGCACTGCTGGGGCTAAAGAAGATAGAATTCAGAGGAATAAGCCAGTCATTGCCCCATCTCAGAAGAAATGCACGAGTCATCAGCAAATATGCAGAGACAAGCAAGAAGAATATGGGACAGACACCAGTCATAGTGAGAACTCTACTGACATCAGTACTTCCATGCATGCTTCGTATAGCTACAGGACAGAAGTAAGTGACGAGGTAAATGACATATCCAAGGAGGAAGTTCGAGTTGACGTACGAGGAAACATGCTTGACATACCTGTCAAGAGAGTTACACTTCTGTTTGAAGGCCTAACCTTCACAAGGTACATCACACCACTTTACACTTCTCCTATCCGAGAATCTTTGGGTCAGCACTCTTGAAACTCATACATAAGTTTTTTATGGACTAAAACATTGTTACTGAATCAGGCATAATGACGTGACCAAAGAAAAGTGTATCAGTTTTCAACAACATCACAGGCTTCGTTAAACCCCAGCAGATGGTAGCCTTAATGGGTGCGACAAGAGCATGCAAGACAACACTGTTGAAATGCCTTGCTGGTAGAGTGCCTCTCATTGGGGAACTCAAAGGCAACTTACACACAAGTGACGTAAGGGCCAGTGCTACATTCTCCCGGTTAGTAGGATATGTTGAACATGTCGATGCCCACCAACCATTCCTTACAGTAAGGGAATCCCTTCAATTCAGTGCCGCACTCCGCCTAGGAAAAACAATAGACTCCATGAATTCTCGCGTTCATGTTGAATTAGTCCTCAGCCAACTGAATCTGATAACCTATGCCAACCAACTTGTTGGTTCTCTACGTGGCAACACAGGGAAGACTTACGAAATAGCCAAAAAGATTACCATTGCAGTTGAACTGGTAGCAAATCCAAGCATTCTTCTTCTTGAAGACCCAATATCTGGCCTTGATAGTGCAGGGATTTGGAGCATCCTCAATAGTCTCTCTAACGTTGCAGATTCAGGAAGGGTCATCATTGCATCTCTCACACACCCTAATGCACGCGTTCTGTCATCCTTTCACATGGCCCTCGTCCTAACAAGAGAAGGCCATCAAGCATACTTTGGTCCTGTCGGGCATCACTGCCAAGCGTTGCTGGGATATTTTAAGTCCATCCCGAATGCCCCTCATTACTCCAGGAGAGTAAGCCCAATTAGCTTTGTGATGGATGCCCTTGGATTGGGTATGGAAGAAGCTTCACAAGCTCCTGCATTAGATTATGCACAGATTTATCAATCCAGCTCTTTGCAGGAGATCAACAACAATGAAATCTGCACAATAAAGACATCAATCAAGGGCAGCAAGTTAGAGGATATACCTTCAAATTATCCTGCTCCATATTCAACACAAGCTCTTTTGGTACTTCTGAGAACACAGAGATTCTTGTGGAGGAATGTGCAGTATACGTTTGGTAGACTGACAGGCTGCATCGTGATTGGTCTATTGATGGGGTCCTTATACTATCAAGTAGAATACAAAGACACCTTTGGAGCTACGTCGCGTTCACTATACATATACATGCAAGTTATTCTCATAGGTGTTATCTCAGCCAACAACGTGATTCCCCAGCTCGGAACAGATAGGTTAGTCTACTTTCGGGAGAAAAGGGCAAGAATGTACCTTCCAATATTCTATCCAATATCATGGGCAGTGGGGGAGATTCCATACTTTCTCATGGCTACATTTGCAGTTATGGGGATCGGAAATGGCATGGCAGGAATTGCAACTGATTCCATGAGGGAATTCCTCCTATATTGGTTAGTGCTCTTCATATTCACCCTTTGTGTGACCTACTTCGGGATGATGATCACTTTCCTAGCACCAGCACCAGTTCTTGCAGCATTTGTGGTGTCAATTGTGACATCAATTTGGGTTTCGGCTTCTGGAGTGGTTGTTTTGTTCTCGGACATAAGGTTCTATAAGTGGATGTACTGGAGCAACCCATTCCAGTATGCCATGAACATGATGACCTCTCTCAGTTTCTACTGCAACACAAAGGCTTGCAACACAACAGGCTGCTCCTGTCCCAAATTCTCAGATGGGTCTTACGTGTGGGACAGGTTAGCATCAATAAGAAGCTTGAGTTATGAGAGAATGGAGACAGACTTGTCGATATTGGCTGCAATGTCTCTGCTGTTTGCAAGTCTAGCGTTCATACTCTTTGTTGTACTAAAGCATAACTCATCGCCCCAGTGACAGATAGCAAAGGTCTGTACCAAGACTAATAGATACATGTAGAAAATGGAGGACATGCTGGCACATTAGAATGATGAAGAATTTCAGTATCACGACAAGCAACTGATCCAGAGGAGACTGAAGAAAGACCTGAAACCTCATATTCCCTTTCATTTCATATAACAAGATGTATTTAAGCACACAAAGATTTTGTCACACAATCCATTCCTTCTGGCATCATTAATTAATAGCTCTGCTTTCCAATTACAACATATTAATCACAGAATCTGCCCGAGCACTTGATAGTTGCAGCAGGGAAAACAAAGAAAGAAATGGGCAGGTTATAATGTCGGTGTAATGTGCACCAAACCAGCAACCTGGAAATTATTGTAGCATGGCCAAAAGGGATAACATACTGGTGGAGCATCATCCAAAAGTTCAAGAATGTCGCGCTGCAAAGAATGAACTTAACCCCAGTCCACAAATGGAAGAGGCGGATATCCGCCCTCAGGAGGCGGCAATAGAGACGGAGGCAGATTACCCCACCACGCTCCCATGCTATTGGGCACTGCTTAGTACAGTACAAGGAAGAAGCAAATGTAAGGCAGACCATATTAAGAGAGCCAGGCAAAAGAAATCATCAATCTCATTCAGCAGACAAAGAAGAGGAACCCACCAGCAAAAGAGCTTCTTCCACCTACGGCTAACGGAGGAGCAATAGCATCACCGGCGACGAGACCCTGACCACGAGTAACAGTCGGGGAATGAGAATTATGGGGGGAAGCGGCGGCGGCGTCGTCGTTGTTCAAGTGCAAGTACTTACAAGAGTCTCCGTACGGACAGAATCCCTTTGTGGGGAAAAGATGGGGGAGTGGGAGTTAGAAAGAGGGGAGAAACGGACGGGAATTCGAAAAGAAGGAATTGAGGAGGAAGGAATACCGTATTGCGGAAGCGATTGCAGACACCCGACGGTGGAGCAACGGCGGCGGAGGAAGAGGTCGGGAAGGAATTGTACCAGAGGGATTTGGCGCGGAAGTGAGAAGAGCTCTGGAGGTGACGCTTGCGAGCGAGAGGAGTGTCCTGGAATTCCTTGTCGCAGTAATCGCAGTAGTACTTCCCCATCGGCATAACTGCAACAGCCAACGTCCTCTTCGCCTTCCTTTCCGTCTTCAACTTTCGGAGGCAGTGGCGGGTACATGGGTCTAGGGTTGCAAATGAGCCAAGTCGCTCGCGAGCAACTCGGCGTTCGAATCGGAAAAAACTCGTTCGACACTCGACTCGTTGTTTAACAAGCCAGCTCGCGAGCTAGCTCGTTAGTAAACGAGCCAAGCTTGAACTAGGTCATGCTCGGCTTGATAAGCTCGTGAGCTAGCTTGACTCGGTGGCTTGTTGAGCTAAGCTTGTGAGCTGACTTGTTTAAAGCTTGTGGAAGGATTAATTACTTTTCTGAACATGAGAATTATCTTATTAATAAGGATGTGTATGAAAGTTAGATGTTATTTTTAGTTTTTGAGGTTCTTTTTATCATTTTTAATTTCTAATGTTCTTATTTGTACACATTTTTCAACAAGAATGATTTCAAATCGAGCTTATCTTGAGCTGAGCTTGTACTCAGCTTGACAAGCTGTGTTAATGAGCATTTACCGAGCTTTATCGAGCCGAGCTCGAGCTGGATTATTTTTAATCAAGTCGAGCTTGAGCTCGAGCTGGATGATGAAATTTCAAGTTCGAGCCGAGCTCGAGCTAAAAAATTTATAAACGAGTCGAGCTCCAGCTCAGCAAAAACTCGACTCGACTCTGCTCGTTTGCAGCCCTGGGTCTTTAGGGTGTCCCTTTTGGAAACGATTAGTCAACCCGTGATACTAATTTAGTATGGATATAAATATTATAATTGGTAATTTGGGACGCCCTTATATTTTAAAAAATGATTATCCTATTTTTATAGTAGTTTGCATATTATTAAAAAAAATAGGGTAAATGCCACATTTGATCACTGATATTACTAAATCGTGTTATGTTTAGTCACTAGAAAAAAATAATATTATTAATTTTGGTCACTCGAATTACCAAAACAGGTCACATTTAGTCAATCTCCCGTTCGCCTCTGTCCACTCCGATCACTCGAATTATTTTTTTTTTATGAATGTTCCTCAAATAAAAAATCCTTACCGACCTATGAGCGGAGACTGAAGAGAAGACCTTGGCTTCCCCCGAGGCGATGTCGTACACCTTTTTGTCGTGCGCAATCAGCTGCGTCTCCACGGCGGACTTCTCGATGTCCCAAATCGTGCAGGTGGTGTCGATGCTGGAAGTGTCGATTCAATTGGGCTCGATCTCGTTTCAATCGAAGGATGTTAGGGGAGTGCAGAACTCGTTGGTCTTGCTGTTGTTGAGGACAGAGATGAGTTCGACGGGGCCATCATCGCGGAGTTCCCAGAGGTGGAGGTAGTTGTCGGAGGAGGTGAGGATGCCGCCTGAAGCTACCGACGGCGATTCGGTGGAGTGGGTGGGCGAGAAAGCCATGGCGTGGTTCGATTTTTGGTCGGAGCTCTCCACTTGCTAGGATACCAGGTTGAAGGTGGGAAAAAATCCCACTGTACACATGTTTTTTAAAAAAATTCTCAAAATACACATGTTATGAAAAAAATTCCCAATCTACGCATGTTTGGCCCTTCACCGCGTCAGACTAAGGCGGTGAAGGGATCACCGCGTTAAACAAGAGCGGTGATTGCATCACCGCGTTAGAGAAAAGCGGTGATTGCATCACCGCGTTAGAGAAAAGCGGTGATTGCATCACCGCTGTAGACAAAAACGGTGATAGCTTCACCGCATTCAACGGCCGCGGTGAAGGCCTGACCTGCGTCGAATCTTTAAAAGAACGTAACTTTGTGCTCGGTTATCCGATCGTGGTGAATTTTTTTTTGATTCCGCATAATTATTCGAGATCTTGCAAGCCGCAAACCACCGAACCTGCCTTCGTCCCGAAAAAACGTCGTTTGCTACCCCGAACGAGCCTTTTTTCGATTTCGTCAAACTTTGAACGACCATAACTTTGTGCTCCACAATCCGAAAATCATGAATTTGTTTTTGATTTTGCATAACTTTTTGAGGACTACAACTTTTATCATAGACATAATTTCGGAATGTACTTGGATTCCTAAAAGGGGAAGGTAAACTTATTCCCAAAACCCCGTATATCCAAAATAATTCATTTTTGAAAATTCTCTCCTACTAAAAATTGTAGTCCTCAAAAAGTTATGTAAAATCAAAAAAATTCATGATTTTCGGATTGTGGAGCACAAAGTTATGGTCGTTCAAAGTTTGACGAAATCGAAAAAAGGCTCGTTCGAGGTAGCAAACGACGTTTTTTCGGGACGGAGGCGGGACCAAACCGGCTTGCAAGATCTCGAAAAATTATGCGGAATGAAAAAAAATTTCACCACGATCGGATAACCGAGCACAAAGTTACGTTCTTTTAAAGATTCGACGCAGGTCAGGCCTTCACCGCGGCCGTTGAATGCGGTGAAGCTATCACCGTTTTTGTCTACAGCGGTGATGCAATCACCGTTTTCCGCTAACGCGGTGATGCAATCACCGCTCTTGTTTAACGCGGTGATCCCTTCACCGCCTTAGTCTGACGCGGTGAAGGCCCAAACATGCGTAGATTGGGAAATATTTTCATAACGTGTGTATTTTGAGAATTTTTTTTAAAAACATGTGTACAGTGGGAAATTTTCCGTTCAAGGTGGGAGGTTGGGGAAGAAGATGGAATGGGGAAAGGGGTGGTTGTTGTGTGGGGAGGAAGGAGAAACTAGATCTGATACATCATGTTTTTTATTTTTCTTTAATTGAAAATGTGACGTGGCATATGATAAGTCTAGGTGGATATGACGTGTTGTCCTAGTGGCATCTACATAAGTCTAACTTCTATTTAACTAACGAAATTGTGGACGGTGTTAAAGTATTGGATGGAAATGGCTAAATTAGTCAAACAAATTTAAAAGGTGTGATTATAAGTGGTATTTCTATAAAATTGACTATATTTTCACAAACGCAAAATTTTTGGCTATACAATTGTATTTTGCCTAAAGAGTACAACTTTATATGCTTTTAACGGGGATTGCTAATTGCTGCCCTACATATTTTATTATCGCCCTAATTATTAGTAAAAATTACCTCTTTATCCTTACTGAATAGAACCGGGCGGCCGCCGGGGTTCCATTGATTTAAGCATTGAAGCTAAAAGAAAACATCTCCGAAGTACGAGCGACTACGGCAGCGGAGGCAGGCTCGAACTTAATGGCACAGATAATGAAAAGATTGACGAAGACGGTGGCGGCCCTGAGAACTGAGAATCATAGTGATTTCAAATTTCAGGTCTTGATTCTACCTCAGACGCCCTAGTTATATGCTAGCTTTTGATTTACGAGGGTGGGGGTTCAAGTTGCTTTCTCTAATCCAACCTTTGATCACCGCAACTATTAGACTATACTCCTCGCTCTTGATTCCAACTGCAACAAAGCCATAGACAATCCCATTAATTAAGAGGGTTTCTTATTTGACAGATGGCACATGCCGACACCGTAGGGAGAAAGAATGGCGCAGTGGGTCACTCACTCACTCACCTGGAGTGCAGGAGGTCGGTAGTGAATGAAGAATTTGCAGTTCAGCGGTGGAGGGTAGGCTTTATCGATGAAGATGAAGGAGAATTAGCGTAGGGCTATTTGATTAATGAAGGACAATCTAGTATTTTATTTTTAAATTAGGGAGATAATAGTATATTTGGGGCGATATTTAGCCATTCAGTTAACTTAGTGTCGTTTGATTTTGGTGATTGTTCGATTGCAATAGTTACAATGTAAATATTGTTCACAATTCATTGTTTTTTCGAATTTTCTGCAAAAACAATATATGTATTATTTGCTTGATCTGATAGAAACTATCACTAAAAATGAGTGATAATAATATCTCTACTAAAACTTGAGATTATTGAGATAGTTTTAAGGAGATTATTGAGTTCCTTTTTTGTTCAAATTATACCTTAGCTATATACATAATAAAAGCAAGGCAAAAGTGATCTTTCAACTATACATATATTAAATCATTTTCATTAATTGCATGCAGGGTAAATACAATATAATAGCCAAACCTATTGTCTTTAAACAAAATAATAGTCAAACCTTTTCGAAAACAATTTAATAGCCAAATCGTTAGCTTTCCATCCGGTCAACTAGTTGACTCTGACATGACCGCTTTATCGCCGAGTTGGATGTCAATTGGTGACGTGGCAAAGAGTCAAACATTTGACTATGCCATATAGATATTTATTAATTTATATCATTATTATTTGAACAAAATAAAATAAAGAATAAACCCAACCCCGCAGCCATTCGTTTCTCCGGCCTTCCGCCAAGGTTCAGGAAACCGTACCGGACATCATACCGGATTCCTTTCTGGTAGGGTATTTTGTGGTAGGACCATGGTTAAACCATTTTGTACCGGTAAATACCATTTTTGTAATAATAAAATATATTTTTGTCAAAAAATCGTACCGACTAAAAATGGTATCGTTCTGGAATAATACCGGAATAAAACTGGAATATACCAGTCACTAAAATATTAAATAGTCGTAACTCATATACAAATCAAATCCTTCTATCTTTCTTTACCGTAATCAATTGTATTTACTACCAAAATTAGACATTGAATTCTTTACCACCCATAATTGCTCTACTTACCATGATTGTGCCCTTTTCCCTTTCATAGCATTCTTTTATCTCCTCCTGACCATCTTTTTTTTCCTTTTCCTCTTCAGTTACGAATGATGATTCATTTAATAAGAAATCATTTCATGCCGATTGCTACAACAATCCCTCAAATCCAACCAAAAATTAGAAGTTAACTCGAAACAAAAAAATTAGCTGTCGGGTGAGATGGCCTTAATTGCCGGCGAAGAAGAGGACCAGGGGACCACGACAACGACAATTTGAGATGAGGAAAGGGTGATACAGACGGAGGGAGCTTGGATGCCGGCGGCTACTGGTCTTCACTGTCGACGGTGATTGGAGAAGAGCACTGGAGATTGGAGACGGACGACAAACGAGGCCTTCTCGTTCTCGGCTGGGAAAGACGGACGACTACAAATTTCTCTTCTCGGATCGGATCGCCAGGGGCAGGGACAAGGACTAGACCGAAGAAGAAGAAGGGCGGCGCTTGGCAACGAGAAGGGGCTGGACTGGAGGCAGAGGGGTAGGTCGATTGTAGACTTTAGGGTTGAGGAAATTCAAATTCATCTTCTCTTTTTTTTTTTCCCCCTAAAATAAAACGAGTGTGTTTTCCTGGCATCAAAGAACCTCCGGTTGGATCAAAACCGGCCGAAATTTCGCGATAGGCCTATCAATCAATCCCCGAATGGCAGTGAAGATGTAAAAGAAAGAGAACCCTCCTCCACCACCGCCATGGCCACCTAACATTTCTCTTTCCTTCCAAGCAAATCCCCTCTTTCCGCTTTTCTTTTTTCCCCCTTTTGGTTGCTTCCTTCTGTAGTCAGTGAGGGATGTGGTGGTGTTACCTTTACAGCCTGTTTGGATACAATTCCGGAAGAAATGGAAATGGAATTCAATTTTTTATTTTTAGAATTCCATTTCCAATTGTAGTGTTTGGTATAATTCCTACAACTATGGAAATGAATTGCACTTTTAACCATAATGAATAATGTAGTATGTTTGTTTTATTTTGGGAAATGAAATATGAATGAGAGAGAAAGAGAGTAAAATGATAGTGGGTCAACAAAATAATAAAAAGTATTGATGGGTCCCACTAATTCCATCTTCATTCTCTCAATTCCTATCACTTTTGGAATTCAATTCTCAACCTTTTTATTATTCCAAACATAATATATGGAAATGGAATTGGAAATGGAATTCCAATTCCTTACTTTTTGTCAATCCAAACAGGCTGTTAATTCCTTCATTTTCCAGGCAGTGGAAACAATGGAAGAGGAAGAGTTTACTCTGCCCCCAATTATTTATCTAGTAGTGGTGAGATGAGACTTTCCCCCTTCTGCGTATTATTCGTATGGAGAAACATGGCATTCACTCCGGCTCCAACTCAAGAATTAGGTAACCAGAACGTGGAGAGAGAGCGTCGATTTTTAAAGAATTCAATATTGAGAGCGTGAACAGAGAATCAATATTATATTATTTAAATATACTTTAATATAATTAAATAATAAATACAAGTTTGTCGTATTGAAATATATAAAAAAATACAATACCAAAGAAAATTATAAGAGGTCCGA